CAGCTAATTTAATTAAGTGTGATAGCATTTATTTTTTAAATAACTTTTTAATTAAATATGATTATATTTTTTTAATCACATTTTTTAATTAACTTGTGATTATATTTTATAAAGTGCAAATTGAAGACTTGTGATTATATTTTATAAAGTGCAAATTGAAGCTCCATCTCATTCTCTCAAATTGAAGCTCCATCTCATTCTCTCGCCTCTCTCTCATTCTCACGGCAGAGGTATGTCTTCTATCCCTCTCCCTCTCTCTCTCTCTCTCTCTCTCCCTCCCTCCCTCATTCTCATATCGTTTTCGGCACAAACCCTTTTTTTTATTTTTTTATTTTTGGGTGTGCAAACTGCTCCTCAGATCTCCGTTCATGGCGATTGCCATTCAGATTACGCGAATGATGAAAGATCTCACCTATTTCTCGGCAATCGGAGTTGTAGAAACACCAAAAATCTCACGATTTCAGATCTCTGTCTACCGGTGTCAAATCTCACCACCACATCTCCTCAACCAGATTATTTGGCCAGATTTGCTCAATCTTCCATGTCTGGTTCTTTATGATGTTGTTTTCGCTAAACTCTAAATTTTTTGTTTTTGTCACACTTCGGCTTTTAGAGATGGGGTTTGAAGTAGCAAGGAAACCCCATGTAACTTCTGCCCACAAGCTCTATGGCAGATAGCAATAAAATATGTTTTCAGTTAGTACACTTTCTTTATTTAGTTTTTAGTATTTCAAGTAGATGGGTTTCTTCAACTTCAAAGACTTATGAAATGGTTTATTAGGATGACTGGAAAGTAGAATTTTAATGTTACATCTGGTTCTTCAGTCTTTCTCTGGGTTCATCAATATGACACAACGGCGCCACAAAATATAGAGAAATTTCTAAAATTAGGGTGTCTCCCAAATTGGCAGAAATTCATTTTGTTCCTTCATAGTTGAAAGGATTTTTTTTTAGAGAACAATTATTTGTCAATTAATTCCATTTCTTTTGTTTATGATGACCAAATGTATATCCTTGGGCTAGACTATTTATTCCTATGATGTTTGCTGAGAAACTCTTCACTTCAAGCTCTTCTTGGGTTTTTTTTTTTTATAAAATTGAATTGTTCCGTTGACTTAAAATGCTTATGAATACACTTCATTCGAAGACATTTTCACCTCATGCTTTGAACATGGTGTCATTACAAAATATCTTACTCTTACCCCTGTTTTACTATATACACAAGTCCAAAAAGGAGATAATATGAGATTCTAAATTTCAATCACTTCCATGTTTTTCCTTGGAAACCAATTGAAACATGAGTATTTCATCTTTTTTCTAAGTTCACAATTATTTTTTAATTTTTTTAAAAATTTTTTTAAATTTTTTTTTGTATAATATGAGATTCTACATTTCAATCACTCTCTTACCCCTGGATCACATTATGGTGCCAGAGACTGTGTTTGCACTTTCGGAAAAAAACCAATTTGTTCATTCCAAGTGCATCTTGATGATGTACTTGACCTGTCATGGTCCAAGTCTCAAGTTAGCTACACTTACACTGCTATTTTGGTAGTATTTTATTTGCATTTTTCGTAGCATTGTAGCATATGATTATTATTCTTGCAGAGTCCAAATAATTAATCTTTTGTTGTTACCTTTTCCTACCCTTTACTGTGAAATATTGTTTAAATTGGTTAAGTTACTTATATATAACTTGGTTGCATGTTGTATGGGTGGTGAATGAAGTAGCTAATGTATAATTTTTTGATCAAGCTTATCTTGAGGAAACATTATATGTAGATACTCTTGAAATGTTTACTGCGAGTCTGTGAGGCTTACTATTGAACCTCTGATATGTTTTGTTGTTAGTTAACTAGTTAGGTTGTTCAAAACTATATAATACATCCATTTTTTTTTGTAGTTTGGTTTTGGACATCAAGAGAATTTTTTTGTCATGTTGCCATCATATTTCTGATCAAAATCTTGCCAGTTATGTTGGCCATTTGCCAAATGAAAATTTTCTTGCTGTGTCACTTGTTTTTCTGCAGTCACTGACTCACTGACATGCTAATTGACTTACTTTAATGTTTGTATTGACATTTGAGGTTTTTTGTGTGATGTTCTTGTATTCCTACTCCCATTCCTTATTATAATTTTGCATACCAAGGACTCTCTCTCAACTTACTGATATATTGTTGTATTTTATTTGCAGTTCTAGAACAAGGGATGTGGAAGTTACTGAACCCCTGCTTCATAGACCTCAACCTCCTCCTGCAGGGTACTTTTAAACTAAAAAGTTTCATTTGGTTGATGCATAACTTCAATAGAAGCATTATGAGTCATTGCATGTATCATTTTATGTTTGATCCACAGATCATTGCTGACAATATGATTTTTGGATTTTGAAGTTTTAGTGTTGTGTTATTCTAGACTCTAATATGTAACTATGATGGTATTTATAAATATTTTTCCTCTGTTTATTTGTTTTGTAATGTAATAATGCTTCCTGTTTTAGATATCACAACAATCTAAATGATGAAGAGTGCTAATGGTTGGATTATGGTAGATGATTAAATAGTTCGTACTTTTTAAGAAATAGCACTTGCAGTTTCTTGTAGATAAGTGGACAATTTATTTTGATTCCTCCCCTATGTAAAAATTATCCATTTGTGTAATGTTATACTCTTTTCGCCTCAACTCCTTGTTTGGCCTTTAATTATGGTACTCAGAAAACCGGATGAGTTTGGAACTGCCTCAACTCATTTTATTCATTTTTTTGTAAAAGATCAGTGTCCACATTATGAGTCAGAAGAAACACATTCTTTTCATTCTCAGGTTGATCTATTAGCTAATTTTTTGATTGTTGTTGGGATTTGCCTTGACACAGTAACTTGCAACCAGTTTAATCCTGTTGGTGATATATACTTCATCAGTGGATCCTTAGATGTCATTTTATAGTATGTGGGTTGTAGTTACAACATTAGAAAGAACTATGTTTTTAATAAGTCCGTTTTGAGTAGTGTATAAAAATTTGATTCTTCCAAAAGAGCATTTGGAGCTTGCTTAACCACAAATTAACATAGTTATGGAACTCCACGAATAAAATACCTGTTGTATATAGGTCTAGAGGTTTACATTTTGTTGTGTGGCATATAGCTCAGTCTAGGATATATCTATACTTTTATGTGTACAAACATAATATATGCGTATATGCCAATTAATTGAAGGATGATGAACTTTTGTATAGATACTAGAAGGCTGACATTTCTTTGAAGGTGTCATATCTCATTTCCATTGCTTAATTTTCTCAAAAATGCATCTGGTCTCATTGTTGATTGAGATGTTTAATTATCCATGTGGGATTTGATGACTAACAAAAAAAAATGTTGTATTTGATGTTGGGAGTTAGAACTAGATTTCAGATATAATTTTTATGTTTTTTTGTAGTTGATGCTATAGTAGTTAAATTTTTATATTTGTACTTGATTGAGATGTTTAATTATCCATGTGGGATTTGATGACTAACAAAAAAAAAATTGTATTTGATGCTATAGTAGTTAAATTTTTATATTTTTTTGTAATTAACATTAACACATAATTGTCACTAATTATTTTTATTTTTAGTTTTCAGATATTTCCCATATAGGAGT